ATCCTGTGGAGGCAATCAAAATGCTCGCGGAGCCGTTCGACGTCGACTATGCATGCCCGTCGGAAGAGTACGAGACACTCGCGCTTGAGTGCATCACGTACGACCCAGAACGCCGGCCTACGGCGCCCGAAGTCGTCCGCCGGCTCGAGACCATCCGCCAAGCGTACGGCGGCGCTGGCTTTACGACGCCCGATCTTGCCAAGGTCGACCTCACGGAACCACCGGTCAAGACATCGGGCGTCCTCTACGTACCAAGTTTCGGGACCTCGCACGACATTTGGTGCGAGATCAACGTCGACGACACGAAGCGCACGCCGGTCAAGAGCTCCGTCGCGACCGGCGGCGCGTTGCATCGTTTTATGCCTGTGTCGACGACGATTGCCAACATTGAGCCGCTCTCGCACACTCTCGAAGTCCTCATCAAGACCCAGGTTTTGCTTTTCCCCAAGACGATCGGAAAGGTCTCGATTCCGCTCAGCGAGCTCCTCACACTGGAAGGCGACGACAAAAGCTTGACGGCGGTGCGGACGAAGCAGGGCCCGATCGTCCATGAAGGCGACAACATTGGTACCTTGGAGTTCCGGATGGTGTTTGGACCGCAGATTCGCGGGTACCTCGAAGTCTTTGAGCGGGAGACGACCGAGTTCCTGAAAAAGGCCATTGCCGGGCCGAAGACGCTCGATCTCTCCAAGAAGCGCGACGTGGCGGCCGCGGCGTTGCTGGCCAGTACGCCCAAGACCCCGTAGCTGTACATAATGTGGTGTGTATTACCAAGTTGATACTAATATGAAGTTGCGCTAGCTAGCGGCAATGAACTCTTTAAGTAGCAAGCGACGCCAAACGGCATTGCACTGCTTGCGCATATGGCCGAGATCGTCCTCAAGATCGCATCGCCGTTGCTGTGCACCAAGACGATCGGCAAGATCTCGATCCCGCTCATGAACCGTCTCACGCTCGAAGACAAAGAGTCGTCGTTGACGGCGTTGCGCAAGACGACGTTGGTGACTCCTTGGCTATCGCCTCCGCGGCTACCTCGAGCTTTATGGGCGGCAGACGACTGCGCCCTTGCGCAACACCGACGACGGTCGATCTCCGCGACTTGGCCGCCGCAGCGTCGCTGAGCGGTCGCGATGGTTTGCCTGTGATTTTTGTATCAAGTTGATAGTTCGAAACCTTGCATTTCTACTACAATTGTATGTACATGTACTCGAGTCGCACTTCAAGGTTCACCACCAGACAATATGCGTTTGTGCAGCGAGTACTCACTTGTGAAATGTCTGCTTGCATCGACTAGAGGCGACGTCAAGGAAGCATGCGACCTCCCCTCCGTACTACCTCTAACATCGTGCGCCAAAGTCGCGGTCAATTTACTGTGGCATGCCATTGCATATGAACGAGGAGCGAGGTGCACAGACCGCCTTGAACGTCGTCTCCAACTAAAGCCGATCGCGGCGCCTCGCTCTCGTCGAGCTCGAGCAAGTGAAAACCGCACTTCGCACACTAATAATATGCCAAAAACACCAAATAGTGTAACCTATATCGCACTTCAGCGGGAGTCGCCGTGGATTCTGCATTCCGACGATAATGGGGAACAAGACGAGCGCGCCCAAGTACTCGGCCGCCGAGATCGAGACGCTCAAGGGTCCCTTCAGCGACGCGGTACCTGCGACTCGACCTCGTCCCGCGCCTCATGACCATGGCGAATGCTAGGAGTTTGACTGCCTCGACGCCCTCGCAACGGCCGCGATCGCCGACCGCGCAGCGTTCGAGGTACGATGGCCTTTCGCCGCTCATCAATCTCACGACGCACGCAGACGACGTTTGGCCTTGGCGCTGTGCCTGATGACATGGCGATCCTCGCGCGCTTTGGCGGCGCGCTCTACGATGCGTTCTTGACGCTGCCCGACATTGACGGCCCGTCGACCGACGAGGTCACGCTGGCGCATGTGGCCAAAGCCGGTATACCTCCTCCAATAGCTATCACGTGACGCTACGTTGGTCTACTGTAGCTGCGCTGTGCATGCGGTCGTCGTCGGCATCGATTCTCCGCAGTCTCTGGTCGATCTTTGACGCGTCGACGACAGGAACGCTGTCCGAGTCGGAGCTGCGCCAGCTCTTTGTAAGTATTCGACCTCTTCCATCCATTGGCTCATGCGCCCATGGTAGCTCGCGGTGCTGTTGATGGCCGATGCGATGGCCGATGACGCGCTCGACGTGGCGGCCTACGTTGGCGCGGCCGATGCCATGGTCGCCTCCTTCCACCTACATGCCACTGAGATCTCGCTGCCGCACCTCGTGTCGTGGGCGAGCGCGTCATGGCCGCTCATGCACACGGTCTTCAGCGCATGGATGGCCCACAAGTGCTTCGCCTCGCTGCCATCGACGCGCTCGTCGTACCTGGCGCCTCGCCTGTCGCACCCATCGGACATTCTCACCCGGTACAAGTCGTATTTTTCCAACTTGAGGTTTCATAGCTCTTTTTATCTGCTAGCGGCGAGCTCATTGCGCTCTCGGGCCAGTCGATGCAACTCCAAGACAGCTGGGACCGCCTCTACACCAGCACGCAGGCATGCATCGATTGGCTTGATACATTGATATTCAAAACCCGATCTAGGACGGTCTAAGCTTCAACCGCCTGTGCTACCATCTCCTCGGGTACGCAGGTCCGACGCTGATTGTGTGCACGGCCATGGACGGCGGTATTCTCGACACGCTGTCCACTGTGATGTAGTCTAAGAATGAACTAGCAACGTTTGGCGCGTACTGCGACACGCCGTGGAAGGACCAGAGCAAGTTTTTCGGTGGCCCGGGGTGCTTTCTGTACCGACTTCGCCCCAACTTGCTTGTGTGTCCGAGTGCTGGCGGCACCAACTTCATGTACTTCAACACCAAAGGCGTCGCGCTGCCCCGGGGTCTTGGTCTCGGCGGTACGACCAGCAAGTGCCGCCTCTTCTTTGACGAGGACCTCGACGAGTGTTACACGGCGCTCAAGTGCAATACGTTTGCACCTGGCTCACTCTCGCTCCGCGCGTCGTTCCAGATCCAGACGCTCGAGGTAGACAACAAATCATGACCAGATACCAGAATGGGCCACTAGATTTGGGGCTGCGGCGGCGACACCAGTCGACAAGCGCAGAAAGGGTACCGCGCCGACACGGCGGATCTCATCAACAAGGCGCGCAAGGTCGACAAGGCGCAGTTTGTGAGTACGTGTGTCGCTTGTGAAGGATCTGGCAATGGCAAGTTCTAAGTTTGTATACCTGTAGGCAATGGCTTTGACCGGGAAATGTTCCTTGGCAAGACCTTTGGCCATGGCACGGACGCTGCGCGCATCGCCGACGACGAGCACTAGGAGATCCACGCTTGTCGCACCAGCCGACTTCTTCTCCACTTGTGCACTTGATGACGAAGACGGCGGGTCGGACCGTGTCGTTCGTTGGATAACCTTTGTGATCATGTTATACGAGCTGCGAGTGGGTACATAATACTGTAGCAGCTTTGTATTGCGGCCGTCTTGATTCCTCTCGCATGGATTCCCTAAACCTACTACAAGCTGTAGACCGGTCTCGAGAGAGGACAACCCGTGCTCGTCCATAGTTGACGTTTAGTCGGTCTACAGGTAGAGTCTTCCATCGACAATGTCGTCAGGGGTAGGTCATGGCGGTTTCAGAGAGTTTCAAAGCGTCACGAGCCAATCAAATCGTCGCATTGGACAATGCCGACCTTGGATTGGTGGACAGAGTTAACGGGGTCGTCACCATGTCTTTGAACTCTCTCGTTGCGATCCCTTGTCGATAAGCAACCTCCGAATCCTAATTATCTTCCAACTAATGGCTAGTCCACTCAGTGGTGAGCTGCCTCTCATGACTGAGTTCTGTGTCTGGTCAAGTATCCAGCTGCAATTTCGGCGACTCCAGAAAAGACAGGATCATCGCTGGTATGAATGTACAGATTGTACTATCTAGATCCCAGCCTAGATCCGATGCTTGACGAGGGCACCGTCATTCACGTGCTGTCCTTGCGACCACGCCGGCAGAAGCAACTTCTTTTGCCCGGACGTACTGCTATCTGGATTTCAGTATACTGCAAAATACACTTGATGTTTGTAGCCAAGTGCAACCGGCCGTATTTCAATTAGCATACGACGTTAAACTTGTGATTTGTATACCGAATTGAATGGCGTGTAATTAAATACACGCCACCGCTGGCACCAGAAGCAAAAACCAATTCGATGGCGTTCAGAGGGTTTGGAGCAGCCGCGCCGGCGGCCGGCGGCTTTGGCGGCTTCGGCGCGCCCGCGCAGCCCGCGACCGGCTTTGGCGCATCACAACCTTCGACTGGCTTTGGCGGCTTTGGCGCTGCGCCCGCGACCGGCGCGGCCTCTCCGTTCGGCGCTGCCCCGGCGGCCGCGTCGCCGTTTGGTGGCGGTGCCAACTCGTCGCCGGCCTTTGGCACGTCGAGCACCTTTGGCGCGAGCACGACGAGCGCGTTTGGTGCGCCTGCTGCGCCTGCAACGTCGGCCTTTGGCAACACTTCGGCGGGCACGAGCGTCGGCTTTGGCGGCTTTGGCGCTGCGCCGCAACAACAAACGTCGGCCTTTGGCGCTGCCGCGGCCCCGGCCGCGAGCCCGTTTGGCCCGACGCCGACGACCGCCGCAGCGAGTCCGTTTGGCGGTGGCGGTGGCATGTTTGGCGCAGCCGCGCCCAAGCCCGCGTTCGGGACGGGCGGTTTCGGCAGCACGGCGACGACCAGTACGTTCGGCGCGACCTCGGCCCCTGGTGCGTTCGGCGCGCCTACGCAGCAGACGTCGGCCTTTGGTGCGCCAGCGTCGACGGGCTTTGGCTCGTCGGGCTTTGGCGCGCAGCCGTCGACCGGCTTTGGCGCCGCTCCGAGCGCCTTTGGTGCCCCCGCGCAGCAGACGTCGGCCTTTGGCAGCGCGGCCGCGAGCCCGTTTGGTGCCGCACCCGCGACCACGTCAGCGTTTGGCGCTCAGCCCACGTCGGCGTTTGGCGGCGGCGGCGGTTTTGGCGCACAGGCCAACAGCGCGCCGCAGTGCGGTACGGGCAACCCGCCGTACGTCACGTCGTCCGAGCAAGAATCCGAGAAGGGCAAGCCCGCGACGACGATCCACTACCAGTCGATCTCCAAGATGCCGCAGTACCAGCACAAGTCGGTCGAAGAGCTCCGATGGGAAGACTATCTCAAGCGCACGGACCCCGCTGCCGCGCAACAGCAAGCCAACTTGGTGCCCAACACGGGCGCGACCGCCTCGACGACGACAAGCACGGGCTTTGGCGGCTTTGGCGCTGCGCCGACGACCACGACCGGCGCGTTCGGCGCCAAGCCGCCGCTTGGTGGCGGTGGCTTTGGCAGCACGACCACATCTGCCTTTGGCGCGGCCCCCGGCGCCTTTGGGTCGCAGCAGACGTCGGCGTTTGGGTCGCAGCCGGCGGCACCGTCGGCGTTCGGCTCGGGTGGCTTTGGCTCGCAGCAGCCGGCTGCCGGTGGCTTTGGCTCGACCGCCACCAACAGCATGTTTGGCAATACGACGACGTCGGCATTTGGTGCGCAGCCGGCGCAGCCGCAGACAAACTCGGCGTTTGGCGGCTTCGGCGCTACCAACACCAACACGACGACGTCGGGCTTTGGCACGGCGTCGCCCGGTGGTGCGTTTGGCTCGGGTGGCTTTGGCTCGCAGCAACCGACGGCCGGCGGCTTTGGCACCGGTACGACGACGACGACCGGTGCTTTTGGCGGCTTTGGCCAGTCGACGACGTCGCCGGCCCAAACCACCAATGCGTTTGGGGGTAGCAACAGCGCGTTCAGCTTTGCCAAGCCGTCGACGCCTGCCGCCGGTGCATTTGGTTCGACGGCGCCAAGCACGAGTGCGTTCAGCTTTAGCGCGACGCCGTCGACGCCGGCGACGACAGGCGGGCTCTTTGGCGCCTCCAACACGACCAGCGGTACCGCGGGTGGCTTTGGCTCGTTTGGCGCTCCAAAGCCGCAAACCTCGACGTTCGGTGGCTTCGGCTCAACGACAGCGACACCGCCGACCACCGGCGGCTTTGGCACTCCGACAACCGGAACGTCGATGTTTGGCGGCGGATCGACGGCGTCCACGACGCCGGCTCCGTTTAGCTTTGGCGGTAGCAGCAACACTACGAGCGGCTTTGGTTCCACCCCCGGCGCGAGCCTCTTCAACAAGCCCGCGGCCACGGGCGGTGCGACGCAAGGCTTTGGCGGATCGCTCTTCTCGACACCCGGCGGGTTTGGGGCGCCGACCCAAACGGGCGGCTTTGGGCAGCCGACAGCCCCCGCGGCGCCGACGACGCTTGTTGCGGGCCACGACGCGAACCCGTACGGCGCTGGCTCGTTTGGCGCCGGTCTCATTGAGCAGCAGATCAAGACGACGCTGACGCTCCCCGTGCCGAACGCGATGCCGCGGTCCAAGGCCGTCGACGCGGTCGAGTACCAGCGCCCGTCGTCGCTCATGCGCCCGGTCGCGACCGTCCCGACGTTTCTGAGCGTGCCCAAGACGACCGTTTCGGCGCCGACGCCCGCGCGCCGCCTGCTCGACGAGACGGCGAGTGCACCGGCCGCCGACTTTAGCTTTGCGACGACCAAGTTCAAGAGCATTGCGACCAAACAGCTCAACATTGACACGCCGCCAAAGGTGCGCCGGGTGCCGCCGCCGACCGCGCCGCATGTGATTCCGGCCGAGACCGAAGCGTCGTCGACCGCGGCGACCGTGACGCTCTCGGTCTCGCTGCCGTCCAAGACGACGCTCGAGGTCCAAGTCGACGCGCTCGCGACCGGCGCCGATGTCCGCGCGCTGATTGGCGAAAAGGCCGGGCTCACAGGCGCGTTTGACGTGCACTTTGACGGGGCGCCGATCAATGCGTCGATGACGGCGGCGTCATTCGCTCACGGATCTCTCGAGGTCGTGGCCGCCCAGCCGTTTGTGAGCTTCGACTCGTTCTACGCGTCGGCCACGAGCGCGTCGACGTCGGCATTTGCATCGGTGGCCGAGAACCCGTTGGCGCCGACGTTGACCAAAGAGGGGTACTACACGATGCCGGATCTCTCGCAGCTTCGCACGATGACGACCAAGGAGCTCCAGAACGTCGACAACTTTGCCGTCGGTTGCAAGGGCCTCGGCTGTGTGCAGTGGTACGGTGCGACGGACGTGACCAACCTCAACTTGGACGACCTCGTGCTCTTCTCGACGCGCGAGGTGGTCGTCTACCCGGATGAAGACAGCAAGCACGCGCTCGGGAGCGGCCTCAACCGCCCGGCGCTTGTCGAGCTCCTCCAGGTGTACCCGCCGACGCAAGACGCCAAGCGTGAAAAGTACATTGAGCGCGTCATTGCGCGCACCGAGACGATGGACGCGACGCACGTCGACTACAACCCGGACGCCGGCGTGTGGAAGTTCCGCGTCGAGCACTTTAGCCGGTACGGCCTCGACGACGACGAGAGCGACGACGAGCAAGCAACGGCGACCGATGCTGCCGGGCTCCAGCAGGTCGCGACGCAGTTGCAGCTCAACCCGCACCGGCTGCACGAACTCTCGGCTATGTACTTGCCGTCGGAAGCTGAAAAGGTGGTGACGCCGGTCCCGACGCTCTCGGCGAGCCGCCTCGCGGTCGTCGAGCCAGTGCCTGCGACGCCGTCGGCCCCAGTGCCTCGGTCGCTCACCGTGTACCCTGTCGTGACGCCGTCGACGTCGACGGTCCTTGGCCTCTGGAACGCGCCGCTCAAGTCGCTCGACCTTGGCATTTTTCTCGGCCGGTCGTTTCGTGCTTCGTTTGGTCCGCAGGGCGACCTTGTGACGACGCACGCGGCGCAGCGCGTGGCAATCTACGCCCGGACGCCGGCCACCGGGACGTCGCTCCTCACTGCGCACCGAAGCGTGAGCCGTCAAGACCCGTTGTCGTATCACGTGACGCTGCCGGCCGACGTGTCGGGGCTCCTCTCTGGGTTTACGTCGGCGGCTACGACTGGCCACGACGGTCTCCTCTGGGGCCTTGTGGCGGCCCTGTATGGCCAAGAGCATGGCGCACCGTACTTGGCCCCGATCTCGAACGCGCCATTGACGCTCAACGATCTCCCAGCGTTTGATCGTCGCCATACTTACCTCAATCAGTGGTTTGAAAAGGCCGTGACGTGCCCGACGTCGTCGTCGATGCCGTCGCTCCAGAACGTGCTCTCGCTCTTGTGCCAGCACCGCCTTGTGGACGCCGCGTCGATGGCCGCGTCGCTCGGCAACTTTCGCCTTGCGACGTTGATTGCGCAAGCGTCGACGCACCGCGACGGCGACTTCCGCGCCGCGCTCTTGCAGCAGCTCGAGGCGTGGGCGACCAATGACGCGCTTCAGTTTATGGAGCCCGAGCTCGCGTGGATCTACTCGCTCCTCGCGGGGTCGTTTGCGGTCGTGACGCAGCGTCTGTCCCACCTCGACTGGCTCCAGTCGCTTGCGATCGTGTTTTGGTTTGCCCAAGGCCCGCAGTCGCTAGCATCCGCTGTCGATACGTTCACGCGCGCCGTCGCTGCGCAGCAGTGCAAGCCGCCGCTCCTCCACCTCAAGTCGGACCCGATCATGGAGCTTCTGAACGTCGCGGTGGGCGCAAAAGCCTCGTTGGTGCCGCTGCTCAACGTGCTCGAGGCCGACGCGGCGTGGCACCTCTATGACGTCCTCTCGCACTTGCCTGGTCAGTCGCTCCGCCTCTCGCCCAAGCAAGCCGCGCTGCTCACGTCCAACTACATCTCGACGCTGCTCGACGCCGGGCGTGTCGCCGATGCTATCTACGTGGGCCTGACGATCCCAGACGCAGCTGCGCGCAAGGCCACGGTCCTCTCGCTCCTGCACAAGGCGGGTGCCACCGACGGTCTCTTGGCGTCGCTCCACGACCTCGTGCCGACCGAGTGGTTCCACGACGCAATGGCGACCAGCGCAATGGCGATCGGCGCGCACGTCTCGGCGGTCGACCACTACATGCGCGCGGGCAACTACGACCACGCGCACCGTGTGCTCCTGCTTCACGTCGCGATCCCGCGCCTCTTTCGCGGCGAGACGGCCGAGCTCGGCAGCACGCTCCAAGCACTCGAGCCGCACCAAGCGGCGATCCCGCTCTGGGCCCGGTACGGCGCGGTCGTGCTGAGCTACCTCCGGCTGCGCGAGAGCCCGCACATTGCGACGCGCCACGTGGTGCTGAGCGTCTGCCGCAAGCTCAAGGAGTGGCAGACACAGCCGCTGGCGCACCTCGGGCACGAGCACGCGCTTCTCGAGCGCGCGGTGCTGGCCAACATGCTCACGTACATGACGTCGACTGCGGTCGCGCTGGAGCAGGCGCTGGACGAGTCGGCGTCCGGGCAGTGGCTCGGGCAGTTGCAGGGCTACGTGCAAGCCGACTGCTTTGGCGAAGGGTTCCGCGCCACGAGCCTCATGCACGTCGGCGCGTCGCTCGTCGAGTAGACAGCGTCGTTGCTGTTATCTATCGGTCCCGTCGTTTCCATATTTTCCACTAAACATGAATTGCGATACCTGCATTCTAGTATTTTAGTGTTTTTTCTACTCTATCGATAAGCCGAAAATGACTATGAGACAAGAATGCGATGCTAAACCTGCACGGGGTGGCAGGTTTATAGTCGGAAAAGAGCGTAGTCGACATATGACGACTAGAGACACCAAGTCGTTGGTCGACGCGCACGCGCCAGCCGTGGCGGCTGCGTGGTCTCGAGAACGTTCAAGTTGAAGTCGGACGGCGTCGTGGCGTCCAGTACAGCGAGCGATGGTGTCGTGAGATTCCGGTCCAAGCTCTCGAGCAAGCTGAGGCGGAGACGCTCGACGAGCACATTGTCCTTGTAGCAGTAGACAAAGACGTCGACGCTTCGAAACCCAATCGTCGGCGACCGCTTGTAGCGCGCGTTTCGACGAAAGAGGGTGTAGACGGAGCCGCCAATCTCGGGCACGCGGGCGTTCGTGTCGGGGTACATCCATCGCAGCAGTGCAAAGAGCGCTCTGGTTTTGACGCTGTTGTAGCGGAAGCTCGCATACACGGACGTGAGGCTCGAGAGTGTTTGGACCCGGGCGCCGCCTGTATCGAGCCTCAGAACGCTTGCTTTGGGGGCGGGTACGTACCCCGACACCATGCCGCCGAAACGTAGCCGTACAGGATGGGGATGCACGCAATGCTAATCGTATAGAGGACCGAGCAAAGACCGCCCTCGATGTAGTAGCCCTTGGCGGCTGCCGGCAGCGTGCACTGGAAGAGGTAAATATATGCCGCGAGAAGCCCGTAGTAGTTGCCCATCGCCCACGTGATCGCGGGCCCGTACAAGGTCGCAGCGACCGCAACGATCGTCGGGTCGACTTCGGCGAATGCGTGCTCGTTGCGGCGGCGCTTGAGGATCGCTGCAGTCACGCACATGGCCGCGTACGCATACCATACCTATACACATGCATTCCGCAACGTCGAATGAAGGTCGTGCAACAGATGTTGCGTACGGTCCGTGAGAGATACATGAAGCCGAGCAGCATGATTCCGATGTCGGCGCTCTGGGACGCTCTTGGGATGGCGACCGAGAGGGTCTCGACGCTAAACCAGCAGTCGAGGAAGAAGAAGGCCGTGACGCTTGGGTGCATGAGGATGATGGCGGTCGGGTCGCCGTACACGACCTCGCAGCGCCAGCGACCCGGTTTGTCGATATTGTCGCGGTGCCCGTACCGCTTGAGAGTGTCTTCGAGCGCAAGGCAGTGAACGTAGTACTTGGTCCACATGAGGTACAGCACAAAGCAGGAGAGACACACGCGGTAGACAAACTTGAACCAGTACCACGCCTTGAACTCATACACGGCATGGGCAGCCACAATCGTATACGTTCGTAGCGCGTTCGAGCCGTCGATTTCGTTGCCAGCGCGCAGCCAGACGCAGTTGTGGCCAATCAGAAATGACATGTACGTAAAGTGCATGCACGCGCCGTGGCGGTCCCAGGACGCCATCGTCGTGTCCTGCGAGTGGTTGGCGGCCGCGAACGCGCACAGCACATTCCGGATGTTGACGCCATAGTACAAGGCGATGGGTTTACCGACAAGAAACCGCGCGAGGCAGTCGTCGTCCGAGACGACAGTGTCCATAATCACGACTTGACGCATGACCTGGACGCTCCGGCGCATGTCGTCGTAGTACACGTCGGGGGGTAGCGTCGCTTCATTGTACGCCGCTTGCATATTGGCCAATGTGTACCGGCTAAAGTCCGAGTCGTTGGCGTACGTCGGGGGTGTCGAGAGGGTCGCCCACGGCGGGAGCTCGGAAAAGTACGCTTTCATCGGCTACGACACTCGAGTCAACAAAATGAATGCTCGAGGCGAGCAACGCACCATGGAGAAGATGTTGACGAGCATGGTCATGCTTACAACAAAGCCGAGCACATTGCGCTTGACGCGATGGCGCGACGAGGTCGTCGAGAGGCCGGGGACGACGTGCACCCGCGTCGTGGGCATCGCCTTTCCCGATGGATTTATTACGACTAAAAATACGACAACTATGATTAGTACTGGTCGATTGA